AAGATTAAAAAGCAACTTCCCTGTTTTCATTGTTGCCATCGTCGAAATAAAATACGACCCTCTTCTCTTTAAATGGAAATTTTTATTTTCACGTAAAACAGGAATTTCCAGTGAACATCTTACGGTTTCAAACTAAATTAGCATTAAAAATAGAATATAATGCTAAAGGAACTGAATATAGAACAAGGTTTATACCTGAAATCAAGCGTCCCAACCCACCGCAGGCACGGCTGGGAACGCGACAATTTATTACCCTTTTTTAATTTATATTCACCCGCACTACATTAATCAATTGCTGGTGTGGCTGAGGGAAAAATCAGTTAAAAACTTTTCTCTCTTAATATCGATACTTTGGAAAGTGATTTGATGAATAAAAGTCGTAATAACGAAATGATACTTTAGGTTTGAATCTTAAATAATTATATTTTCCATTTATTTTGCTAGAACTAAGTATAAATATAATTGTTAAAAATTTCCTAAAAGGACGGCGACGGTTGAAAGGAGAAAAAGCTTGTCTTATTGTTGATGTTCCATTTAAGTTAAAAAATTATGAATAAATCATGTCCATAAACATTATAGTTTTTATATGTTCTAACAAGCAGTCACTAAGTTTGATTGTAACTAGAAATAGTAGATGCATTGCATTTATCTGGGATACATTTCCCAAGCGACGCTCTCCGTAGCTTAGCTAAAGTTGCGGTGACAGTTGGTGACAAGCGCGTCGTAGCTTTGCTACAGTTCTCAGCTCTCGTATTTAAACCCGCTCCCATGCGGCATCGATTCTTGTTTATAGAATGGCTATAGGTTGATTTTATGCTAGATTTGTATATTGTTTGAAGGAATCTTCTATGAAGTACAACGAAGGTTGTACTTCAAATAATTATCTTAAAAACAGTTGAAAATATATTTAACTTTCATTCATACATGATTGTGGTGAGGTGGTGGGCAGAATGAAAGATTTTCGTCTTCTTATTATTTTATTTACCGCTTTACAATATCTTTTTTACTTGCACTCGTTTCGTCTTGCCATCCTTCCATTATTCCGCTCACACTGACATACTTCCGTTCCATTCTGTTCGATCAGTCATTCATGCATCTCAATCTTAATTGTCTAACATTCGTTCAAAAACCACAGTCCTACATGATAGAAGGTAGGAAGCCTTGTTTTTCCTATAAATTTTATGAAAAAACTAACTATTCATTTTAAGAATTCCTGATGTTTTGAACTGAGCCCGCCTTTTTATTCAAGGATAAGGTTATAATGAGGCTTGATTATACGAAAAATATTTCACCTCCTTTATATAAATAGACCGCACATTTGTTCTGATTTGAGCCCCGTCTCTGGGGCGCATTTCGTACGGATCCTTGGTAATAGGCGAAGAACGGGGGCTACCATAGCGAAGCAATTTGAACCTTAAGCAGTTAGCGTAAGGTGCATACAGACGAGCACCACCCGGAGCGGGAACGAGTGAAGCGCAAACTTCAGGGTTGTAACAAATTGGTAATTTTTCGCGGGCTGTTGTTCTGGCGGGTTGCCGAACGGTTACGTTGGAATACCTACCTCCTAGTACTTATGAATTTCGCTTAGAAGGTTATGGGAGTTCGCGTATTGACCTCGTTTTGCAACAACGCCAGGCTTTGTAAGATATGTTAACAATAAGTATTGTGTCAAGATGACATAGTTCTGAACAAGTTATAGTTTTATTTTAGAGAAACACAAAATACCGGTACATTAAAACGTCTCGCAGTCAGTTATAATATGTCTCAGGCACCCGTTTTACCGTTTTCACAAGAATTCTTTCCTTAAGTCGAGACAGAAGCTTTTCTATACATTTACGGATCTAAAAGTTCCACTTAATCTTCTTACGCAACGCGCCGAGCCGGCAGTCGGCAGTCCCGCACAACTTTAAGCTTTTGCTTTTATACTAGACACTAAGTTTGAGAGAAATATTAACGTTATATATCAACGCGACGAGAACTTAATACATATGGAATTTTATGTTCTACTTCAATATAAAAAAACTAAACTTTATTGTTGTGTTATGATAGAAAATTCTTTAATAAAAAAATACTAAAACATTCAATTATTTAAAATAATATTCACAATATTTAAAGACTAAAAATAGAACATTATTTCTACATCAAAAATTATTTTAGATCATCATTAACGAAGGTAATTTAACTGAATATCATTGCAAAAACATGCTCTGCCCGTGAGATACTCGTGAGCCAGTCAAAGCGTTCCCTCTCGCTCCAATTACTCCCCGCACTTGACATGCTTCTCTTCACTACAGCAGTCCACCGTAACACATTAACTCTCCTAGGTGACGTCATAGCTATAAAACCATCTTTCCACTAGCATGGTAACTGTGCAACTGTTATTTCTATAAGCAATGTATGTACATTATCACTGGCACAATCGCGACTTTTTTACCGTGAATAAGATCTCTATTGATTTCTCTATTGTGTTCAATGAGAATGAGGGGGATGGAAATATTGTAACCCAGGTGCTGCGACAGTTGAGATATCCTTGCAAATTGCAGTCGCACTTGTCCACCGTCGTGCAGCTAGTCGTGTTAGTAGAAAAGGAGGTTAAGCGTCATATAGAGTAGACCGTTAATGACATATACGTTGAAGTGGATGAATGTTGTCATAAGCTTTCATCTTTAACTAAATGTTAGTAGGTCATGTTGCGAGCTGTTTTCTAATTTGCATTCATAATGAAATACTTGATTTAAAACCCAAGTGGAACTGTTTCATTTCATACACATGGGACAGTCCCAAGTGTTATACTTAATTCATATTTTGATTACTTTAAAGTTACTTCTTACTTTTTTGTCTCTATTTTAACTTGTGAACCTAAAATTCCACTACGTTAGATGCCTCAAAGTCTCGTCTGAAATTATACTTAGGTGTATCATATTCCTGATGAAAAAGTTTTATCTTTGAATAAATTAAATTAATGTTGCTTTTATGAATTGATGTGTCTCGTAAGTTACCTCTTATGCAAGCACGTCCCAGGTCAAGTTATCAAAGGACTAGTTTATTCTAAGTTTGTCTTTGAAAGATACGCTGCTCCGGAGAACGTCTTCCATTACGGCGGACACTCAGACCTAATTTGACGGAAGATGTACGTTGAGCAAAAATTTAGGAAATGTAGGATAGTCTTGTCACTTAGTTTTATTTCAATTACGCTGTTAATTTGAGATTATTTTTAAATAGTTAATATGGATGTTCGGGTTTGTATGATAAATTAATTAATTTTGTAAGAAATTGCACCAACGAAATTTGATGCATAAAAAAATAATTTGTAATAAAAAGCGAAAGTTATAAACTAATTAGTATAATAGTATATGCATTTTTGAGATAAATATTAGCTTTTTGATATAAAAATAAATGTATTCTCAAAGTTAAGTGAAATTCTTAATAGGTATAAACTTTTTTTAATTTAATATTTAATTATCTGTTGGATTTCTCTCGTGTAAAGGAAAGCTACGCTAGTCAGGTAGCTACTTTATTTTTACTGACGAAGTTTCCCTCAACTTTTACAGACTGTAAAGAAGCAATGTTTAGGGAGGGATTTTAACGCATTTACTTTTGTAGGATCTAATTATTTTGGTACAAAGATTGAGTAATATTAAGTAAATCTCGAGCTTATTTATTCTGTGGGCTGCTTTTAACCTGAAACTTACATCATTTCGTATTATTATATCTAACATTATAAATCAATCGGTCACGAAAATAATATATCGACATTAATGTTAGAGTCCAATTTTTTATACGCAATGAAAATCAACGAATGTCTTTAGAGCCATTATTATTATATTAGGCAATTATACAACAATGGTTACGAAAACTTCATCTTGTATGGTCGATTTTTATTCCATTGTTTAAAAAATTATCCTACCATATTCTTCTTATTTTCTACATGGTCACACTACAAAGTATGAGGCACGCGACATCTTGGTCCGTGAAGTGAAGATGTCGCGTCGCTTGCTCTCTGCACTCGGCCCACTTGCTCGATGTTGCATGCTCTGAGATATCTCGCGTGGAAACAAAAATACTAGTTTCTACAAAAATAAACGTTTTCACTGCAAAGATTTTCCATTTAAAAATGTTTTGGTACTGGAAAAAACGTTTTAACTGGAATTGTAAGAGTAAATATAATTGGATAGATTAATACGGTTTAATCCCCCTATTCAGAATGTTAGTTTAGTCAACAATGTTAGGTTATTGAGTCGGTTTGTGGTTATAAATAATGTTTGGTACCGAGCTCAAATTATGTCTACGTTCATTTCATATTCCGTCATAGTTGTTCACACTGCGTATTGATTCTCTTGAAACCTTACTTTGTTTTATGCGAGTTTATAGTTTATAAATTCTAAGTCTAAAAATTTTACATCGATATTATAACTTTAATTGTTTACTATAAAATTCTATGTATTTTTTCTTAATGATTACGAGTTTCCTTATAAATATCGTAAAAGAGTATTAATGGATTTGAGAGGAAAGTATTTCCATAAGGAAATGTGGAGTTGGAAAACTTTTAAGGTAAAAAAAAATAGGTATGATATTTGAGATGGAAGCAAGTATAAATTTCATCTCATTACATTATTAAGTAAACGGCGTCGGAGGCGGGCGGATACTTAAAAATGTAAATGAGCAATTTTGCCGTGAACTCCAATTAACGCGAAGAGATTCAACGCCTTACGCCGAGTCAGAGTGAGCCATCTCGCGCTTATTATTTTGATCTAATTCAAACTTACCTTAGTAGAAATAAACATTAAACTTTAGTTCCATATTTATAGGCGTTCACAAGAAATATTTTATTTATAAGGATGTAGCTGTCGCCCGCGTCTCCTCTTCAAATATATGTGTGAAGTCAACCAACTCGCACTTGGCCATGTGACTATGGCCTAATCAAACTTAACTTAAGGTAGTGTGTGTACACGTATAGTGAGCTGATGATGAAATTATATGAATATTTTGTATTGTTACAGACATAATAAGCATATTGAAGTCTTCTACTAGTCCTAGTTTGCCTGCTTGCTCGACTGCCTGCCTGCCCGTGTCAGCGTTTGCATTACACCACGCAACAAGTACCGCACTCTCCACCACTGCGAAGCAACCGCAAACCTGCCCCGATATATGGACTGCTTGCACTCCTTCTACGCAAATAACTTTATAAAGTAAGTAACTACCGAAATTATCTTACACGTAAAGGGATCCAGAATGACCCCTGAGGCTTACAGTCTGAAGTAGACGTTTTACAATTAAGAAGAAATGCAGCTTAAAAATTTCTAAGGATTTATATCGTCATTCAATTTAGTTTAGAGTTTTTATTACACATGTCTGTTGGCTTAGAATTGAAGTCGCCTTTTATCATTTACCACATGTTTCTCTAAACAACAATATCATGTAACTAAGGAGTTACAAAACTAAGCAACAATTCCTTTGTAACATGGAATTTTGGATTTAACAAAGTACTAAGCTTTAAAGGAGTATTTTGTTACATCTTAATTAAAAGGATTATTGTAAGGAAAGCCAAATTTATATCGACAGTGGAAGCCCACGGTATCTGATAATTTATTGTGTACTTCAATAGGTGATTGGTGTTTTTTGTAATCAGGTAGGGGTGGTTGATGCCCCACGCGGCGCCCGCGACCGCCATGTCGGCCCCGCCGCGACACCCGCACTTCTACACCGTTGAGGTGGGCGACACGCGTTTCACCATCCTCAAGCGTTACCAGAACCTCAAGCCCATCGGCTCCGGCGCACAGGGGATCGTATGGTGAGCGCTCACACATATACATTGCTACACACGATGCTCTACCAATAACATATGTTACTACTTAAGCAGCAATGTATTGCTACAACACGCGGTTTTCTTTGTTCTTGTTACGGTTATTAAGTCTGCAGGCTCACTAGAATATTGAAATTGAATTGTATTTTTGTCGGAGTTTTCGTGTCTCGATGATATTTCAATTTGTATCTGAATTATAATTAGTTTTAGGAAAGTTAATTGAGATCAAAAAAAATTTGAAGTCTTTTCTCTACATTTGAATTTTTTTTTGTACAAGTAGCGTAGCTGTTTGCTAATTTTGTAAGAAATATTGATGTTGGCGACAGAAAAATAAGTATATAATTTCAATATGCTACTAAAGATAAACCTAAAGCTACGTCGTTACAGGAGCAAAGTAATTTCACAAAACTGACTTAAATTCCAAGATTTAAATAATGATACTTTAAGGTAGAAGTTTTATTAAGAATGCAATAAACTGCAGTAGAGTTTTTCAAGTGTTTTAACTTTTGAATATTTCAGCGAGCTTTATTTTTTATTATTCATAATCTTTTAGTTTCAAGTTATACTCGTGTAACTCTTTCGTTATTTCTTTGTCTAACTTGTTGAGATTTTAATCTTGTATTTACTTCTACCATTGTCAATAAGCTTGAAAGTTTCTTAAACCTTGTATATAATAAATCTTACTTTATATAATTGTAAGATACAATAATTATGTCTGAGACATATCTATCGAAAACTCGATGTCTGATATTCATAAGTTGTACAGATGACAAATAATTTAAACGTCATTTTCAACTTTTTCTGGCGATACTTTTTTTTTGAAATTTAAAAGATTTTTTAATCTATGTTTTATTGTTGAACAGAAGGTATGAGAATCATCTTGTTCATATGTTAAGTTTGAATTTTATAGAATTTGCAATAAATATTTAAATTATCTGTACTATTTAAAATCTTATCTTTTTAACTAAAAATGAATTATTCTTCTATATTTCTGTAACTTTTTTTTTCTTTTTTTTATTTCTTTTTTTTTTAGTTTTCCTCGTGCAAGCACTTCTTTGTCTTTCATCATCCACATGTGATCATTTCTAGCATGCTCACTTGCACTGGTCATATTCACGCGACTTACAATTTCTTTTTGGTATTCTCAAGAGAACCTTGGGAATATGAGTTGTAAATAATCTGTTTTCTTTTTGGAAATTAATTTCTCTTGACTTTACCTAGGACTTTGAAAATCTGTATATATTTCCACTTTAAGCTTAACTTTATCTTTTCTATTTGCTATTCTTTGCTACAACTTGATGTGAAAAGGGAAATCTCACTTTAGAAAACGTATTTGTAGTAGGGGAGGCGAAGTGGGAATTTTTGGATTTATTCGAACGTGACAGTTAAATTTATGTGAGGAATCTTGCACCCAATCGAATACACATACCACAAATAAAATGCTTAACAAAGCCTATTTTCTTCTTCCGATAAGTCGTGGAAGATTTGATCGTATAAATTAATGGATTACAATGTCATTCAATTATTAGAGATTGAGGTTAACCGGCACACCACAGCACGCACTCAGCACCGCCAATATAATGTGTTTTGTTTATAGCTGATGCCGGGTATTGTTAAACGAGTAGAGATGGTTCAGTTTTACTCTGTGAGTTTCGGTGACACGGTGTTCACTGTGCCCACGAGGTACAGCGAGCTTGTGCGGCGCGGCGCCGGCGCGCAGGGCATGGTGTGGTAAGACCTTCCGCCACGAGGGCTGCTTCACGCTTACACCCACCACCCCCCCTTCCTCCCTATCCCTTCCTTTTCCTCATCTATATCCCGTGACAAGACAATAACTTTCTAATGTTTGTCACATAACATCTAGTGACACACTCGCTCCTTTTGTGAAACCTGTCACCTGTCAATACGCTTTGGTGTTTGAACTAATATCACTCGCTTCACATTATCACCGGTTAACATTATGTCTGTCGTGTGACCTCTAACTCTCTTCTATGTCTTTCAATTCGATTATTGATTGTTAATGTTCACTTGAACGTGTATTCAGATTTTAATATTTGATTTTATCTTTTGTGAGTTCGTGTATCTGACTACAAACAATGTTACAAATTTGATTTTATTACAGTTGTGAAATCATATATGTAGTCGAGTTACGTACATCTAAATTCTAGATTTAGGTGTTATAAAATGATGCCATTTATTTCATTTTAAATAAGTGGTTTGTTCATAATTTTCTTTTCTTACTTTAGTTTTTAATGAGTCTGCCAATTAGACAACATTAAATAAAGAAAAACATCGAATCGGATTAGTAAAACTCGGAAAAGTAAAAACTTCTGTTCTAATGTTTTTTATATTTATGCATCTCGGATTATAGGAGAAAATAGGTTTCCCCAATATTTATGTGTTAATAACGTCTTTAAATTAATGAGAAATGTGTATAGTTTATCCTAACTTAAGGTTCAGGAAAACATTATTTGATCGTTTTTGTAAAAATTTGAAATAATTAAGACGTAAGTTGGAATAAATTATATGAATATTTTTAATAAAAATAACTCGATGTTAAGGCGCTTCGCCATTTTATATTTTGACTAACCGTAGTAATGTTTATATTTTTTATTGTAACAACTAATATGTGATTTTAAATATAATTTTTTTTACACTTTGTTCAATTTACTTTTTACATGTTTTGAACGTAATTTCATTATTATGCATGATTATGCGTGTTTAACGGATTTCGATATCAAAACAATCGTATCACATTCAAAAACTATTGATTTTCCTATGTTTGGATATTATTTTTTTAATTAATATTATCAATGTGTAGTGCATACTTCTATAATTGTTTAAATCTTAAAATGTGCTTACTTGATGTGTTTCTTTCTAAACAATATACTTACGTACGTGATTTATTTGAAATTTTCCATTTGAATGATTTAAACTTTTGAAAAAGATGAAAAATTTATTAGAATTATCAAATATCGACGTTTTTATCAGTTAAAAAAAATATGAGACATTAACTACGCCGATATCGGAATAGCGTGAACACAGATAAGAATTACAACTGTGGTTTTCTCTGTCAAAACTTTTCTTTCATCTCACTCTTTTAAAAAAAGCAATGATATGTTTCAAAACAATTATAGCAAAAACACAAAGCAAGTCAGGTGTATTAGTATGTATGGTGACATGTGATCAAGCTGTCACTTGTGATTGCAGCGCGGCGTATGACACGGTGACACAACAGAACGTGGCCATCAAGAAGTTGTCACGTCCGTTCCAGAATGTGACGCACGCGAAGCGCGCCTATAGAGAATTCAAGCTTATGAAACTCGTCAATCATAAGAATGTAAGTGTATCCTAGTGTAGGTTCTCATTGACATTTAAACATATTGCCATCTCATTAATTTGTAAGTGGATGAGAAGGATACAGATATATTTATGTACACGCCTTTCGAAGTAACTATTGTTGGAGTTCTAAACTATGTATTTTCGCCCTCGACTCTGTCAGCGTGGGAACAAAAAAAAAACCTTAATTAGTAGCCTATATGTTCTTCTAGACTATGCCTACATCTATGCCAAATTTTATCGAGATCCATGAGGCCGTTTTAGAGATATGTTGTACCTTCTAATTCATCCATCCATCCATAGTACGATTGATGTATTTACAGATAGGCTAAGAGTAAAATTGTGTTATGTTTGCAGATCATCGGCCTGCTGAACGCGTTCACACCGCAGCGCAGCCTGGAGGAGTTCCAGGACGTGTACCTGGTGATGGAGCTGATGGACGCCAACTTGTGCCAAGTCATCCAGATGGACCTGGACCACGAGCGCATGAGTTACCTGCTCTACCAGATGCTCTGCGGCATCAAGCATCTCCATCTCGCAGGCATCATACACAGGGTAACACTACCTACCCCTTTTTGTTTTGACAGCTATGACGTCATAATGTTCTCAGTTTTCAGATTCTCATATCAAACCTACAGTAATATATCGTTACAGTACTACAGTTCTATACGTTTTTGCTACGAGTGACAAATCTTGCGTTTCTGCCAAAAAACCCAAAACATATTGTTATCTCTGTTTTGTAAAAGATAATGACAGGGATAACGATATGTTTTATATAGAAATTTTGGTCTCAGAAACTCACGGTAAATTCTTTATAGTACTTTTGCTCTGAGTTGCTTGGGATTTTATTCAGTATGTAAGAAAAAGTTTTAAACTAATTGTAAAGTATTTGTACTACAGGATTTAAAGCCGTCAAACATAGTGGTGAAGAGCGACTGCACGCTGAAGATCCTGGACTTCGGTCTGGCGCGCACTGCCGGCACCACCTTCATGATGACACCCTACGTCGTCACCAGATACTACCGCGCTCCTGAGGTACGCTGACATCACCACACGCGCACACCTACATATCCATCCCCTATTACACCTCCATCTCCGCCCCCACATTTCATCTCTACCTCTACCTCCACCTCCACCTCTTCATCCCACCTGTACCTGTATATCCAACTCCACATTTATAATCAAATCTACCCCCATTTTCACATCTAATTCCACTTCTACCGCCAACTGATGTTGATGTTTGTTTGTGCCAGGTGATCCTGGGCATGGGGTACACGGAGAACGTGGACATCTGGTCAGTGGGCTGCATCATGGGCGAGATGATCCGCGGCGGAGTGCTCTTCCCCGGCACCGACCACATCGACCAGTGGAACAAGATCATTGGTACGTCTTCATCTCATCTGATGCAGCATCACCATCTAAAGCAATAGTGTACATGTTGTATGTGTATGTATGTGTGCGACAGAACAACTGGGCACGCCCTCCGCGGCGTTCATGGCGCGGCTGCAGCCCACAGTACGCAACTACGTCGAGAACAGGCCGCGCTACGCCGGGTACAGCTTCGAGCGTCTCTTCCCGGACATACTCTTCCCCAGCGACTCCAACGAGCACAACCGTCTCAAGGTCACCCCCCAACCCCCACCCCAACGTGCACACACACACAAACACACAAACAACTTGACACAACGGAGATAAACATTACACAGACATCGTTGACAAAAGATAAACAAAAATATAATAACTGAGACACAAACATCACTGATACAATTGATATAATGCCCAGTTTACATGATTCCAGTCCAGTCGACATTACTG